TTGATATTAAGTGGGACTTTAAAAGGGGATAAGAAAAGCTAAACGGGACTATAAAATTAAAGTTGCTTGGGATTCGAAAACTATCCCAAAAAGATTTTTCCAGGTGTATTGAACAAAAGTTAGAGATAAGATAGGTCCCCTTAAAAGTAACTCTGGGTATCTTACTGACAAAGAGAATGAAATGTGCTCTATTTTTAATAATCATTTTCTCTCGGTTTTTACTCAGGAAGACACTAATAATATCCCAATAATTAAGTTTTTTAGTGGGCCTGAAGAAGATAAATTATGTAATATATCACAGTCACTTGCGAAATGGTTATCAAACAGATAGACTGTTTGAAGCAAAATAAATCGCCCTGTCCTGATGAGCTTTTTTCAAAGGTACTTAAGGAATGCAAAATGGAACTCTGTGAACCTTTAACTAATATTTTTAATTTATCTATTCAAACAGGTGTAGTGTCTGATATGTGGAAGATGGCTAATGTAATTCCTATTTTTAAAGCAGGGGACAAGTCGTTACCGTCAAATTACCGCCCAATAAGCCTAACCTCAATTGTAGGAAAATTACTAGAGTCAATTATAGCTGATAATACAAGAGGCCATCTCAATAGGCATGATTTGATTAATGATACTCAACATGGTTTCACAAGGGTCCGTTCCTGCCTAACTAATTTATTAACTTTCTTCAGTAAAGCTTTTGAGGCCGTTGATCATGATAAAGAATTCGATATTGTTTATTTGGATTTTAGTAAGGTTTTTGATAGAGTACCACATCAGAGACTGTTGAAGAAAGTGGCTGCTCATGGCAATGGGGGAAAAGTACTGTCATGGATTGAGTCATGGCTCACCAATAGGAAGCAGAGAGTATGCATAAATGGGGTTAAATCTGAGTTGGGATCTGTAACAAGTGGCGTTCCGCAGGGATCGGTTTTAGGCTCGTTGTTGTTTATAATATATATAAATGACCTTGACGAGCAAATTACTAGTGATACAAGCAGATTCGCTAATGACACGAAGATAGGTAGGATAATCGACTCAGATGTTGATGTCTCGGTACTTCAAGAGGACTTAAACTCAATTCGTGGTCAGAAAAGTGGCAGATGCGGTTCAGTGTAGATAAATGCAAGGTTCTGAAGCTCGGGAGTGTCAATAACCTAGTACTTATAGGTGAAATAACGTAGAACTTAGCCATACAGATTGCGAGAAGGACTTGGGGGTTATGGTAAGCACTAAGCAGCAACCTTAAACCAATACAGCAATGCCTAAGCGTACGTAATAAAGCAAACAGATTACTGGGATTTATATCTAGAAGTGTAAGCAACAGAAGTCCAGCGGTTATTTTACAGCTTTATACATCATTAGTAAGTGACAAATGGTTAGAAACCGACAAGTTGAAGATTGAGACACTTATTCAACATATGGAATATTTATTGAAGAAACGTTTCGCCACAGAGTTGTTTCATCAGTCCAATACAAAGTAGAAAGGTGTAAGGAGAGGAGGAGTTTGAGGTAATTAATCCCTCATCCTGGAGTCAATGTGTTCAGTTCATCAATCTTGTAGAAAGTACAGCATAGGGTCAGCAAGGTGGCTTATATATATTATGTCAGCGGACCTTTCTTTTAAAGACCATAACAAGACAAAGATCACGACAGCCAGGAAGATGAGATGACGGGGTGGGTATTGAGAACTTTCAAAACAAGGGAAATAATGCCGATGGTGACACTCTTCAAATCGCTAGTGCTCCGTCGTTTAGAATATTGCTCAGTGCTGACGACCCCGTTCAGGGCAGGAGAGATATCTGAGCTGGAACAAATGCAGAGATCGTTTACGGCTCACATTATGCCAGTAAAGCACCTAAACTACTGGGAACGCCTGCAAGTCTTGAACATGTATTCATTGGGGCGGAGGAGAAAGAGGTACACGATAATATATACCTGGAAGGTACTCGAGGGCTTGGTCTCAAATCTGCACACTGCCATAACAACATACTGGAGTGAGAGATGTGAGAGGAAGTGTAAAATAAACCCAGCGAGGAGCAGGGGTGCGGTGGGGACAATAAGGGAACACTGTATCAACATCCGGGGTCCCAGACTATTCAACATCTTACCAGAAGATATCAGAAACACCTCTGAAACCAGTGTAGAAGCCTTCAAAAGGAAACTGGACAAGTATCTTCATCAGGTGCCAGATCAACCAGGCTGTGATGGATATGTGGGGCAGCGGGTCTCCAGCACCAGATGAGCCTGGCCCATAGCTGGGCTCAGAGAGTAGATAAACTCTCGACACTTTTCAAAGGTATATAAGGGTATATATACTGCAGTCAGGTGAGTTGAAGTCCTAGAATCTGTATTGATAAAGCCACTGGATGGCGAAACGTCTACAATAAAGATACCCAGATGTTGCACATGTGTCTCAATTTTCAACATTGCATTTACCGAGATACTGTGGCAGGAGTTGGCTGTTGTCAACGAATTCTTGACGATGGTTCAGGATCTATATCAGGAGTCGGATGACACAGTAATAACCAAATTCTGTTACCATCTTTATTATAAATATTCATGTATATTTTTCTGTATGTCATGGAATTATTTCAATTGTCTATTTTTTCCAGTCAAGGAGTTGGCCGGAGGGAGAGAGAGAGAGAGAGAGAGAGAGAGAGAGAGAGAGAGAGAGAGAGAGAGAGAGAGAGAGAGACAGGATGGGACCACCTCTACTAGTAGTCAAGAGAAGGCGGACCTCTTTGCTGAACACTTTGCTACCAAAATGCAAGTTCCTGATCCAGCAAGGGACCCTCCTTGGCTAGCTGCAAGAACTGTGTCAAAACTGTCAGTGGTGACAATAAGGCAGGAGGAGGTGCATTTCCTTCTTAAATCACTTGACCAAGAAAAGGCTGTGGGCCCAGACAAGTTGAGCCCAAGATTGTTGAGAAGATGTGCAGACCAGCTAGCAGCACCTCTAACTCGCATCTTTCAGCACTGCCTAGTACAGTGTAAATGGCCCTCTCCATGGAAAGAGGCAAATGTAGTCCCTGTTCACAAAAAGAAGAGCAGAGCAGAAATCAGCAACTACAGACCAGTGTCACTCCTGTCAATCACTGGTAAGATCCTTGAGACAATAATCTCAAGACAAATGACAGAGTTTTTTGACTACCACTCACTACTTTGTGATCGTCAATATGGCTTCAGGAAAGGTTACTCTGCTGCTGATCTGTTGTTAAACCTCTCCACTAAGTGGCACCAGTCACTGGATGAATCCAAAGTCAGCTGTGTGGTAGCACTGGACATTGCTGGCGCTTTCGACCGGGTGTGGCACCAGGGCCTCTTAGCAAAACTTCAAGCACTGGGAATTGCAGGCTCTACGCTATGTCTCCTCAGTGATTACCTTCATGGTAGATCTCTAAGTGTAGTCCTCAATGGAACGGAATCAGCAAGGCATCCTATTGGGGCAAGCGTTCCACAAGGAAGCGTGCTGGGTCCACTGTTATGGAATGTCTACTTCAACGACCTTCTTCATCTCATCCCAGAATCACATGCATATGCAGACGACTGTACACTGACATTCACTTATCCAAGAGAAGAAATGCCAGCTGCTATAAGCTACATCAATCACCAGCTGAGAGCTATATCAGCTTGGGGAAATAGATGGCAAGTAACATTTGCACCTGAGAAAATGCAAATGATGATCGTCTCTAGGCACCATGATGGTAATGCTGGTGCAGTAGTAAGGATGAATGGGACGATGTTGGCACCTGGAGAAGAAGTTGATATCCTTGGGGTGAAATTTGACTCCAAACTAACCATGAAGAACCATGTTGTAAATCTTGCAAACAAGGCAGCCAGGAAGCTTACAGCACTTCGCCGTATCTCGCATCTGCTTGACAGTAGGGGTTGCAAGATCCTGTACGAGGCACAAGTACGCTCACACCTTGAGTATGCTCCACTTTCTTGGTTTGCCTGCCCCCCCTCTCATCTGCGACTGCTTGACAGAGTAGAGAACAGAGCAAGACGTCTCATCTCTCGCCTGGACCCATCCTGGATAGATCTGTCATTTCAGCAGAGCCTTCAACATAGGAGGGATGTGGGTGGCCTTACTGTTATGTACAAGGCCAATATTGTCAAAATACCACACTTGGATCCACTTCGAGGACAGCGTGAAACAAGCTTTTATGCCACAAGACGGGCAGAAAGCAGCAACTTCACTCTGGCTGTACCCTTCTCCAGAACATCACTCCATCTGAGATCATACATACCCAGGATGACTCGAGTATGGAACACATTCGTACAGCATAATGATGTCAACGAGATAAAGTCAGTTGATCAAATGAAAATGCTGGCCCACAGATGGCTCCAACTTCATCCTGTCCCGTACTTGTATGTCTCATAACAATAAAAATGCTTTCAAATGAGCTGATGTAGGTAACAGCTCTTAGCTTGCCAATAAAGTTAGGAATCCTTAACCTGTAATATAGCTGTCAATAAAGATAGGGATCCTTAACCTTGTCAAACCCTGTGTAAAAAAAAAAAAGAGAGAGAGAGAGAGAGAGAGAGAGAGAGAGAGAGAGAGAGAGAGAGAGAGAGAGAGAGGGCGAGAGAGTTTAGAAAATACGGAAAAGATAGACAACAAGAGACCCCATTGTCTGTATCAATGCTGTTGATAAAGACAAGCTACACTCTAGCTTGAATTGATTGTAAAGTCTAGGTAGAATTGACTCTACATCAAAGAGCTTTTCCTCACCCTTCTCTCCCTCCGGCCAACTCCTTGATTGGAAAAAAAACAGACAATTGAAATAATTTCATGACATACAGAAAAATATACATGAATATTTATAATAAAGATGGTAACAGAATTTGGTTATTACTGTGTCATCCGACTCCTGATATAGATCCTGAACTATCGTCAAGAATTCGTTGACAACAGCCAACTCCCCCCATAGCATATTTCCCTCTCTATTCTTCGCAGTTGTTTGCTAACATCTCTTCTGATTTCATTTTCCCCACAGACACCTGCCATTTTCAAAAGCTGACGGAGGACTGCTCTAACGAGTTCGACTTCCAGTGGAACTCTGTACCAGAAGCCATTGGTAAGTGACACCTCGAAGACTGTACTGTTAGACAGATTATTTATCTTTCCTGTTGTTGACAGTGCAGGTTTTAAGCATCTCTCAGTCAGTTTAAAACAGTGTGATCAGCCACAGTTTAGCTGCCAACTCAGAAGCACTCGAGCATGTAAGATATACACGACTGCTTCAGGGTGAATTGGCATGGTAATACCGTCAGGTTACTGAGACACGTATACACAGATTAAAAATGTTCAGTAAAGTAACGTTTCGCCCTGAGTGGCTTCTTTAGTGCTCAGTTCTGAAGAAGATACTCGTGGCGAAACTTTTCCCTTTTTACAGTAAATATCTTAATCAGTGAATAAGTGTTAGGTAAGACACATATGCAACAGTTAGGTATCTTTATTATGAAACGTTTCGCCTACACAGTAGGCTTCTTCAGTCAAGTACAGAAAAGTTGATAGAAGCAGAAGATACTTGAAGACGATGTAATCAGTCCATCACCCTTAAAGTTTTGAGGTGGTCAGTCCCTCAGTCTGGAGAAGAGTATTGTTCCATAGTATGAAACAATATTGTTTCATAATAAAGATACCTAACTGTTGCATATGTGTCTTACCTAACAACCTGTCGGTATTTTATACCATTTTAATGTTCAGTGAATAAGTGTTTATTTCCACAAGGATATCTTAATAAAGACTGTGGCTACCCTCCCACCACACCCAAGAGATACAATGCTTAAAATTTTGTTTACTCGCTTTCCATTGTATTAATATTGGTAGAATTACCGACAATATGTAAAATAAACGGACACAAGTGCAACCAATGTGGCATTTTATTGTGGCAACGTTTCGCTCTCCAGGAGCCTTGTTAAGCCGTTACAGCTTGATAAAGCTCCTGGAGAGCGAAACGTTGCCACAATAAAATGTCACATTAGTTGCACTTGTGTCCTTTCGCTTTCCATTCTCTGAACGTACTTAAAAGCGTCAAGTTGGTGCCCTGGTCATGTGTATATATTTATATATACCCTAGTTACTAAAATGTGTGAGATACAGGGTGAACATACACGCAGAATGAGGTAGCAGTATTTACTCATGTGTGGCTAGTCAAACTCTCTACTTATTTTTTTTCAGACTTTACAAGTGTAAAGGGACCAAGACACGACAGTTAACTTGCTTTTATTCATGCCTAAGATTACGCAAGAGTGGGTATGCTGATTTCAATTGTGTTCTTGTTAAAAAAATCAAATAAGGGCTTGAACCCCTGGGCAGGTGGTTCGTCAGAAATCGTGTTATTACGATTTCGTGAGAATTGCAATTTTTATTACTGTTTACAGGGGTTCTGTATATACCCGAGTCAATATGACAGTGTTTTTTTCTGAGCTATATGAGTGCAGTAGCTCCCTGACCACACCTTACATTGTATTAACGTTACCTACACTTAATATGATAGTCTCTCATCAGTATACACTGTGTATAACAATTATCGTGAAGAATACGGGGAAATAATACTTAACCAGCCATTTTCTTGTCTTGGAGACCATTTTAAATACTTGAGTTATTAATGTATTCTCTTAAGTGAAAGCTGTTTTAATAATGAGTTTCTTAAGTGAAGGAACGATGTCAGGGAAGTTTCTTCAGTGGAAAATCGATGTCTGGGAAGCTTTTAAGTGGAGGAACAATATCTAGGAAGATTTTAAGAGGAGGAACAATGTCTAGGAAGATTTTTAAGTGGAGGAACAATGCCTAGGAAGATTTTAAGTGGAGGAACAATGCCTAGGAAGATTTTAAGAGGAGTAACAAGGCCTAGGAAGATTTTAAGTGGAGGAACAATGCCTAGGAAGATTTTAAGTGGAGGAACAATGCCTAGGAAGATTTTAAGTGGAGGAACAATGCCTAGGAAGATTTTAAGAGGAGTAACAATGCCTAGGAAGATTTTAAGTGGAGGAACAATGCCTAGGAAGATTTTAAGAGGAGGAACAATGTCTAGGAAGATTTTAAGTGGAGAAACAATGCCTAGGAAGATTTTTAAGTGGAGGAACAATGCCTAGGAAGATTTTAAGTTGAGGAACAATGCCTAGGAAGATTTTGAGTGGAGGAACAATGCTTAGGAAGATTTTAAGTGGAGGAACAATGCCTAGGAAGATTTTAAGAGGAGTAACAATGCCTAGGAAGATTTTAAGTGGAGGAACAATCCCTAGGAAGATTTTAAGTGGAGGACCAATGCCTAGGAAGATTTTAAGTGGAGGAACAATGCCTAGGAAGATTTTAAGTGGAGTAACAATGCCTAGGAAGATTTTAAGTGGAGTAACAATGCCTGGGAAGATTTTAAGTGGAGGAACAATACATAGAAAGATTTTAAGTGGAGGAACAATGCCTAGGAATATTTTAAGTGGAGGAACAATGCCTAGGAAGATTTTAAGTGGAAAAGCAATGCCTAGGAAGATTTTAAGTGAAGGAACAATGCATAGAAAGATTTTAAGTGGAGTAACAACGCCTAGGAATATTTTAAGTGGAGGAACAATGCCTAGGAAGATTTTAAGTGGAGGAATAATGCCTAGGAAGATTTTAAGTGGAGGAACAATGCATAGAAAGATTTTAAATGGAGGAACAATGCCTAGGAAGATTTTAAGTGGAGCAACAATGCCTAGGAAGATTTTAAGAGGAGGAACAATGCAAAGAAAGATTTTTAGTGGAGGAACAATGCCTAGGAATATTTTAAGTGAAGGAACAATGCCTAGGAAGATTTTAAGTGAAGGAACAATGCCTAGGAAGATTTTAAGTGGAGTAACAATGCATAGAAATATTTTAAGTGGAGGAACAATGCCTAGGAATATTTTAAGTGGAGGAACAATGCCTAGGAAGATTTTAAGTGGAGGAACAATGCATAGAAAGATTTTAAGTGGAGGAACAATGCCTAGGAAGATTTTAAGTGGAGAAACAATGCCTAGGAAGATTTTAAGTGGAGTAACAATGCCTAGGAAGATTTTAAGTGGAGGAACAATGCCTAGGAAGATTTTAAGTGGAGTAACAATGCCTAGGAAGATTTTAAGTGGAGGAACAATGCATAGAAAGATTTTAAGTGGAGTAACAATGCCTAGGAAGATTTTAAGTGGAGGAACAATGCCTAGGACGATTTTAAGTGGAGTAACAATGCCTGGGAAGATTTTAAGTTGAGTATCAATGCCTGGGAAGATTTTAAGTGGAGTAACAATGCATGGGGTAACAATGCCTGGGAAGATTTTAAGTGGAGGAACAATGCCTGGGAAGATTTTAAGTGGAGGAATAATGCCTAAGAAGATTTTAAGTGGAGGAATACTGCGTAGGAAGATTTTAAGTGGAGAAATAATGCCTAGGAAGATTTTAAGTGGAGTAACAATGCCTAGGAAGATTTTAAGTGGAGTAACAATGCCTGGGAAGATTTTAAGTGGAGTAACAATGCCTGGAAAGATTTTAAGTGGAGTAACAATGCCTGGAAGATTTTAAGTGGAGGAACAATGCCTGGGAAGATTTTAAGTGGGGAAAATGGAATAATGGGAATGCCTAGGAAGATTTTAAGTGAGGAATAATGCCTAGGAAGATTTTAAGTGGAGGAATAATGCCTAGGAAGATTTTAAGTGGAGGAATAATGCCTAGGAAGATTCTTAGGAGGAACAATAATTAGGAAGTTAATTAAGTAAAGGGAGAATATTTAGGAAGTGTCTCCCCTGGAGGAATAATTGCTAGGAAGTGTCTTCCCTGGAGGAACAGTTGCTAGGAAGCGTCTTCCCTGGAGGAACAGTTGCTGGGAAGTGTCTTCCCTGGAGGAATAGTTGCTAGGAAGTGTCTTCCCTGGAGGAACAGTTGCTGGGAAGTGTCTTCCCTGAAGGAACAGTTGCTATGAAGCGTCTTCCATGGAGGAACAGTTGCTGGGAAGTGTCTTCCCTGGAGGAATAGTTGCTAGGAAGTGTCTTCCCTGGAGGAACAGTTGCTGGGAAGTGTCTTCCCTGAAGGAACAGTTGCTGGGAAGTGTCTTCCTTGGAGGAACAGTTGCTGGGAAGTGTCTTCCCTGAAGGAACAGTTGCTGGGAAGTGTCTTCCCTGGAGGAACAGTTGCTGGGAAGTGTCTTCCCTGAAGGAACAGTTGCTGGGAAGTGTCTTCCCTGCAGGAACAGTTGCTGGGAAGTGTCTTCCCTGGAGGAACAGTTGCTGGGAAGTGTCTTCCCTGGAGGAACAGTTGCTGGGAAGTGTCTTCCCTGAAGGAATAGTTGCTGGGAAGTGTCTTCCCTGGAGGAACAGTTGCTGGGAAGTGTCTTCCCTGGAGGAACAGTTGCTGGGAAGTGTCTTCCCTGGAGGAACAGTTGCTGGGAAGTGTCTTCCCTGGAGGAACAGTTGCTAGGAAGTGTGAACAGTTGCTGGGAAGTGTCTTCCCTGGAGGAACAGTTGCTGGGAAGTGTCTTCCCTGGAGGAACAGTTGCTAGGAAGTGTCTTCCCTGAAGGAACAGTTGCCTGGAAGTGTCTTCCCTGGAGGAACAGTTGCTGGGAAGTGTCTTCCCTGAAGGAACAGTTGCTGGGAAGTGTCTTTCCTGGAGGAACAGTTGCTGGGAAGTGTCTTTCCTGGAGGAACAGTTGCTGGGTAGTGTTTTCCCTGGAGAAACAGTTGCTAGGAAGTGTCTTCCCTGGAGGAACAGTTGCTGGGAAGTGTCTTCCCTGAAGGAACAGTTGCTGGGAAGTGTCTTTCCTGGAGGAACAGTTGCTGGGAAGTGTCTTCCCTGGAGGAAGAGTTGCTGGGTAGTGTTTTCCCTGGAGAAACAGTTGCTAGGACGTGTCTTCCCTGGAGGAACAGTTGCTGGGAAGTGTCTTCCCTGAAGGAACAGTTGCTGGGAAGTGTCTTCCCTGAAGGAATGGTTGCTGGAAAGTGTCTTCCCTGAAGGAATAGTTGCTAGGAAGTGTCTTCCCTGGAGGAATAATTGCTAGGAAGTGTCTTCCCTGGAGGAATAATTGCTAGGAAGTGTCTTCCCTGGAGAAACAGTTGCTGGGAAGTGTCTTCCCTGGAGGAACAGTTGCTGGGAAGTGTCTTCCCTGAAGGAACAGTTGCTGGGAAGTGTCTTCCCTGAAGGAATAGTTGCTAGGAAGTGTCTTCCCTGGAGGAATAATTGCTAGGAAATGTCTTCCCTGGAGGAACAGTTGCTGGGGAGTGTCTTCCCTGGAGGAATAGTTGCTGGGAAGTGTCTTCCCTGGAGGAACAGTTGGTTGGAAGTGTCTTCCCTGAAGGAACAGTTGCTGGGAAGTGTCTTCCCTGAAGTAACTGTTGGTGCGAAGTGTCTTCCCTGAAGGAACAGTTGCTAGGAAGTGTCTTCCCTGAAGGAACAGTTGCTGGGAAGTGTCTTCCTTTTAAGGAACAGTTGCTGGGAAGTGTCTTCCCTGGCTATGTGTTCAACCAGGATACGTAAACTATTATTTTTAATTGTAAACATACTTGAAGAACTAAGTTAAGTCGTTAATGTCTTCAGAAAACACACACACACACACACACACACACACACACACACACACACACTCACATACATACATACATACATTAAGAGGATATACAAATAACCTACACATAGAAGAGAGGAGCTTACGACGACGTTTCTGTCCGACTTTGTAAATGGTTCAAGTCGGACCGATACGTCGTGGTAAGCTCGTCTCTGCTATGTGCGGGTTATTTGTGTATCGTTCCAGTCATAGTACTGTACCTTTTTTTGTTATTCATACATTAAGAGGAGTGTGTTTGTCTCGTGCAGTGTGTGCCTTTCCCTACATCCTCGCCTTCACTCAGGACAGTATAGAGATCAGACTTATTATCAACGGGAACCTGGTGCAAACTATGGTGATGCCTCGCCTGGCCTTCATCACTTCCAAGGTGAGAGAGAGAGAGTGGGGGAGAGAGAGAGAGAGAGAGAGAGAGAGAGAGAGAGAGAGAGAGAGAGAGAGAGAGAGAGAGAGAGAGAGTGGGAGAGAGAGAGAGAGAGAGAGAGAGAGAGAGAGACAGAGAGAGAGAGAGAGAGAGAGAGAGAGAGAGAGATTACTTTCTATATGTTAATCTCCAGATATCCGAGATAAATTTACTCTTCATATAATATATTTGAAAATGTTTATTTCTTGCTTATTATAACATTTTTTCTATGTTTTTTAAACATTTCCTGGTCAGGATAATAATAATATTTACTGATATTTTGTGCATCAGTTTTTTTCTTTCTTTACTTCTAAACTCGGTAAAATTTTTGACTTTCTTTGATTCTTACTGTTTATTTGTCAAGGGAAAAAATATTCTTGGTTCCCAATATTTCTCTTATTTTTCCATTTCCGTCTATAATTCACTTCTAGTTTACTCCTCTTTTGTTTATTCCAGTTATTTATTAATAGCAAAACAAAAAAATTTCCTCGTCTCAATGTTATAGATTTACTTATTATTCAAATCAAGTTTTTTTTTACCCTTCTCTTTCCCTCCTTTTCATTCCCCAATCTGTTTTTCCCTACTCGCCTCCCTCTCTCTCTTTTTCTCACTTTATCGTAGCATCCTGTGTGTTGAAACATGACAGGGAAGTAACGTTATTCTCTGTTCCCACTGTGTGACTATCACAGTGGAGGGTAGCAGCACACTGTGAGTGTTGCCACTGTGTGACTATCACAGTGGAGGGTAGCAGCACACTGTGAGTGTTGCCACTGTGTGACTATCACAGTGGAGGGTAGCAGCACACTGTGAGTGTTGCCACTGTGTGACTATCACAGTGGAGGGTAGCAGCACACTGTGAGTGTTCCCACTGTGTGACTATCACAGCGGAGGGTAGCACCACACTGTGAGTGTTCCCACTGTATGACTATCACAGTGGAGGGTAGCAGCACACTGTGAGTGTTCCCACTGTGTGACTATCACAGTGGAGGGTAGCAGCACACTGTGAGTGTTCCCACTGTGTGACTATCACAGTGGAGGGTAGCAGCACACTGTGAGTGTTCCCACTATGACTATCACAGTGGAGGGTAGCAGCACACTGTGAGTGTTCCCACTGTATGACTATCACAGTGGAGGGTAGCAGCACACTGTGAGTGTTCCCACTGTGTGACTATCACAATGGAGGGTAGCAGCACACTGTGAGTGTTGCCACTGTGTGACTATCACAGTGGAGGGTAGCAGCACACTGTGAGTGTTCCCACTGTGTGACTATCACAGTGGAGGGTAGCAGCACACTGTGAGTGTTCCCACTGTATGACTATCACAGTGGAGGGTAGCAGCACACTGTGAGTGTTCCCACTGTGTGACTATCACAGTGGAGGGTAGCAGCACACTGTGAGTGTTCCCACTGTGTGACTATCACATTGCAGGGTAACAGCACACTGTGAGTGTTCCCACTGTATGACTATCACAGTGGAGGGTAGCAGCACACTGTGAGTGTTCCCACTGTGTGACTATCACATTGCAGGGTAACAGCACACTGTGAGTGTTCCCACTGTGTGACTATCACATTGCAGGGTAACAGCACACTGTGAGTGTTCCCACTGTGTCACTATCACATTGCAGGGTAACAGCACACTGTGAGTGTTCCCACTGTGTCACTATCACATTGCAGGGTAGCAGCACACTGTGAGTGTTCCCACTGTGTCACTATCACATTGCAGGGTAGCAGCACACTGTGAGTGTTCCCACTGTGTCACTATCATAGTACAGAGTAGCATGGGACAAACATTGTGGGTAATAAACATATCCACTGCATCTTAGTGCTATTTAATAAATCTTGGCGGTGTTCAGGTACGACTCCAGTTTTACAAAACCTTTCTTCTTGCTCATGTTCTTCAAGAGTGACATTTTCTTCACTGCTTGTCACTCACGTTTGTTCTCCTTCTAGAGTGACATCTTTTTCACTGCTTGTCCCTCACGTTTGTTCTCCTTCTAGAGTGACATCTTCTTCACTGCTTGTCACTCACGTTTGTTCTCCTTCTAGAGTGACATCTTCTTCGCTACCACGGCGCCTGAGTTCTTTACACTCAAGAGGGAGAGAGTGAGGGTGGACAGGATGGAAAGGGATCCCAGCCTCTCCCCGCCTCCCTCGCCACACAGCAAGGAGTGCACAGGTAGGATGGACTTTAACTGCTGTACCATATTAGACGATATGAGGGAGAAATATAGAGCATGTTGGAAAGATGGGGAGTGAGGGAGTGTTTGAGGAGGAGAATAAAAATGATAGTAAGGGAGAGCATTGAAAATGTAAGCAGGGTAGGGTGTTTACAGAGACGTAGCAGGGGGTGTTGCCAGGGACGTGGCAGGGGGTGTTGCCAGGGACGTGGCAGGGGGTGTTGCCAGGGACGTGGCAGGGGGTGTTGCCAGGGACGTGGCAGGGGTGTTGCTAGGGACGTGGCAGGTTTTTTTTATCAGGGACGTGGCAGGGAGTATTGCCAGGGACGTGGCAGGGGTGTTGTCAGGGACGTGACAGGGGGTGTTGCCAGGGACGTGGCAGGGGGTGTTGTCAGGAAGATGGCAGGGGGTGTTGCCAGGGACATGGCAGGGGTGTTGCCAGGGACGTGGCAGGGGGTGTTGCCAGGGATGTGGCAGGGGGTGTTGCCAGAGACATGGCAGGGGTGTTGCCAGGGACGTGTCAGGTGTGTTGCCAGGGATTTGGCAGGGGGTGTTGCCGGGGACGTGGCAGAGGGTGTTGCCAGGGGACATGGCAGGGGGTGTTGCCGGGGGACATAGCGGGGGGTTTCCCAGGGACATGCAGGGGGTTTCCCGGGGACTGGCAGGGGGTGTTTTCAGGGCGGGGCAGGGGGGTTGCCGGGAGGGGGGGGTGTTCCCATACGGGGCGGGGGGTGTTCCAGGGACGTGGAGGGGGTTCCCTTTTGATATGGAAGGGGGTTTCCCGGGGCATGGCAGGGGGTGTTCCCAGGGACGTGCAGGGGGTGTTGCCGGGGGACGGGCAGGGGGGTTGCCGGGACATGGCAGGGGGTGTTCCCAGGGACATGCAGGGGGTGTTCCAGGGACATGGCCGGGGGGTTTTGCCGGGGATTGGCGGGGGGTTTGTCAAGGACTGGCAGGGGGTTTTTTTGCCATGGACAGGGCAGGGGGTGTTGCCGGGGACATGGCGGGGATGTACCGGGACATGGGGGGGGTGTTGCCAGGGACATGCAGGGGGTTTTTCCAGGGACATAGCGGGGGGGTGTCCCGGGGACATGGAGGGGGTGGGGGGACATGGCAGGGGGGGTCCCAGGGACATGGCAGGGTTTTGCCTGGACGGGGCGGGGGTTTTGCCAGGGACATGGCGGGGGGTTTTGGCAGGGACTTGGCGGGGGGTGTTGTCAAGGAGGGGCAGGGGGTGTTCCCAGGGACATGGCAGGGGGTCTTGCCAGGGACAGGGGCGGGGGGTGTACCAGGGACTGGCGGGGGTTTTGCCGGGACATGGCAGGGGGTTTTGCGGGGAATGGCAGGGGGTGTTCCCAGGATTGGGCGGGGGGTGTTGTAAAGACGTGCAGGGGGTGTTGCCAGGGAATGGAGGGGGTGTTGCAGGGACAGGGGCGGGGGGTGTACCGGGGAATGGTGGGGGGTGTTGCCGGGGAATGGCGGGGGGTTTTCCCAGGGACAGGGCAGGGGGTGTTGCCGGGATTGGGGGGGGGTTTTGTCAAGGCGTGGCAGGGGGTGTTGCCAGGGACTGGCAGGGGGTGTTGCCAGGGACAGGGAGGGGGTTTTGTCCAGGACAGGCAAGGGTGTGCCGGGGACTAGCGGGGGTGTTGCCAGGGACATAGCGGGGGGGCCCCCGGGAAATTTGGCAGGGGGTGGCCAGGGCATGACAGGGGTGTCCCAGGGACATGGCAGGGGGTGTGCCAGGGACTGGCAGGGGTGTTGCTAGGGACATGGCAGGGGTGTTGCCAGGGACAGCGGGGGTGTGCCAGGGCATGGCGGGGGTGTCCCGGGGGACTGGCAGGGGGGGCCAGGGACTGGCAGGGGTGTGCCAGGGACATGGCAGGGGGTGGCCGGGCAGGGGCAGGGGGTTGCTAGGGACAGGGCGGGGGTGTTGCTAGGGAATGGGGGGGGGTTTGTGCGGGGGACTGGCAGGGGTGTTGCTGGGGACAGGGCAGGGTGTTACCAGGGACAGGGCGGGGGGTTGTCCCCAGGGACAGGGGCAGGGGTTTTGGGGGGCAGGGCGGGGGGGTGTGCCAGGGACATGGCAGGGGTGTTGCCAGGGACTGGCGGGGGTGTGCAGGGACATGGAGGGGGGTGTCAGGGACATGGCGCGGTGTCCCAGGGGACATGGCAGCGGGGGCCCGGACGGAGGTTATAAAGTTCCTTTGAGGTGGCTATTTTTTTTTATTATTTTTTATATTTCTTTGGATAAGAATATTTCATCCATTCGGGTTTGCATTTCTTTCCCTTCTGTTTTTTGTAATTTCAGTAAATTTTTTAACTTTTAGTTTATTTGTGATTGTAACGACTATCCTAAATTTTAAAAAAAAAATGATTCATTATGTCAGTTGGGGTAGTTTGGTTCCTGAAATTTTTGTAAATTATATTTTCCAAACCAACACAGACAGGATGTTCCAAAAGGGGGGGCACAGAAAAAAGAGGTCACAACTGGAAGTTGAAACTCAATGAGTCAAAGGGATGTTGGAAGAATTTCTTCAGCCCAGAGTTTTTAGGAAGTGGAATGCTGGAAGTGATGTTGGAGGCAAGAACCAGCATGTTTTAAGAGGGGGATGATAAACCTGGAGCAAGAGGGGGAGGACCAGTGCTCAGTAAAGAGCGGGGCCAGGAGTGAGTCTCGCCCCCTGCACGAAAATTAAATGAGTAAATTGGTGATACCACACACACACACACACCACACACACACACACCACACCACACACACACACACACACACATAAAATACTGGTGAATAGACAAGATGGACAAAGACAGGATGTTCCAGGGAGGGGACACAGAAACAAGAGGCCACAATTGGAAGTTGAAGACACAAATGAGTCAGAGAGATATTAGGAAGTATTTCTTCAGTCATAGAGTAGTCAAGCCGTGGAATAGCCTAGAAAGTGAAGTAGTGGAGGCGGGAACCATATATAGTTTTAAGGCGAGGTATGATAAAGCTCATGGAGCAGGGAGAGAGAGGACCTAGTAGCAATCAATGAAGAGGCGGGGCCAGGAGCTATGACTCGACCCCTGCAACCACAAATAGGTGAGTACAAATAGGTGAGTACACTAACACACACACACACACACACACACACACACACACACACACACACACACACACACACACACACACACACACACACCAGGAGCTAAGACTCGACCCCTGCAACCACAAATAGGTGAGTAAAACACACACACACACACACACACACACACACACACACACACACACACACACACACACACACACACACATTACTACAGTCCAGATAGCATAGGTGATTTGGCAGGGAGTACAGAGTCTGGGAAACTCGTTCACAGTTAAGGGTAAAGAAACAGTGAAGAAAAAGGGTGCCTCATCAAGGAACATGTATCGTAGGGTTAATGAAATTAATAAGGAAATAGGTGACATGGCAAGAAAGTCTGCTCCTGAGACCAGGGTGTAGCTGCTGGAGCAGGCAGAGAGGAAGTCTGCCCCTGAGACCAGGGTGTAGCTGCTGGAGCAGGCAGAGAGGAAGTCTGCTCCTGAGACCAGGGTGTAGCTGCTGGAGCAGGTAAAGAGGAAGTCTGCCCCTGAGACCAGGGTGTAGCTGCTGGAGCAGGCAGAGAGGAAGTCTGCTCCTGAGACCAGGGTGTAGCTGCTGGAGCAGGTAGAGAGGAAGTCTGCCCCTGAGACCAGGGTGTAGCTGCTGGAGCAGGTAGAGAGGAAGTCTGCTCCTGAGACCAGGGTGTAGTTGCTGGAGCAGGTAGAGAGGAAGTCTGCCCCTGAGACCAGGGTGTAGCTGCTGGAGCAGGTAGAGAGGAAGTCTGCTCCTGAGACCAGGGTGTAGCTGCTGGAGCAGGCAGAGAGGAAGTCTGCTCCTGAGACCAGGGTGTAGCTGCTGGAGCAGGTAGAGAGGAAGTGAACATTAAAATGGTATGAAATACCGACAGATTGTTAGGTAAGACACATATGCAACAGTTAGGTATCTTTATTTCGAAACGTTTCGCCTACACAGTAGGCTTCTTCAGTCGAGTACAGAAAGGTTGATAGAAGCAGAAGATACTTGAAGACGATGTAATCAGTCCATCACCCTTAAAGTTTTGAGGTGGTCAGTCCCTCAGTCTGGAGAAGAGCATTGTTCCGTTGTCTGAAACAATATGAAGTTGAAGTGACAGAATGGGGCCTTTATATAGTGCCAGGAGGTGAGACGTAGGTTGCTTTGGGGGGGCAGGTCCTTCTCAAACCCAGCCGTTCTCACTAGTAGAGGTTGTCGAAGTGGTCTGTACCAAGATACCCTTGTGTTGCAGTGTCTGACAGAATGAACATTAAAATGGTATGAAATACCGACAGATTGTTAGGTAAGACACATATGCAACAGTTAGGTATCTTTATTTCGAAACGTTTCGCCTACACAGTAGGCTTCTTCAGTCGAGTACAGAAAGGTTGATAGAAGCAGAAGATACTTGAAGACGATGTAATCAGTCCATCACCCTTAAAGTTTTGAGGTGGTCAGTCCCTCAGTCTGGAGAAGAGCATTGTTCCGTTGTCTGAAACAATATGAAGTTGAAGTGACAGAATGGGGCCTTTATATAGTGCCAGGAGGTGAGACGTAGGTTGCTTTGGGAGGGCAGGTCCTTCTCAAACCCAGCCGTTCTCACTAGTAGAGGTTGTCGAAGTGGTCTGTACCAAGATACCCTTGTGTTGCAGTGTCTGACAGAATGAACATTAAAATGGTATGAAATACCGACAGATTGTTAGGTAAGACACATATGCAACAGTTAGGTATCTTTTATTTCGAAACGTTTCGCCTACACAGTAGGCTTCTTCAGTCGAGTACAGAAAGGTTGATAGAAGCAGAAGATACTTGAAGACGATGTAATCAGTCCATCACCCTTAAAGTTTTGAGGTGGTCAGTCCCTCAGTCTGGAGAAGAGCATTGTTCCGTTGTCTGAAACAATATGAAGTTGAAGTGACAGAATGGGGCCTTTATATAGTGCCAGGAGGTGAGACGTAGGTTGCTTTGGGAGGGCAGGTCCTTCTCAAACCCAGCCGTTCTCACTAGTAGAGGTTGTCGAAGTGGTCTGTACCAAGATACCCTTGTGTTGCAGTGTCTGACAGAATGAACATTAAAATGGTATGAAATACCGACAGATTGTTAGGTAAGACACATATGCAACAGTTAGGTATCTTTATTTCGAAACGTTTCGCCTACACAGTAGGCTTCTTCAGTCGAGTACAGAAAGGTTGATAGAAGCAGAAGATACTTGAAGACGATGTAATCAGTCCATCACCCTTAAAGTGTAGGCGAAACGTTTCGAAATAAAGATACCTAACTGTTGCATATGTGTCTTACCTAACAATCTGTCGGTATTTCATACCATTTTAATGTTCATTCTGTCAGACACTGCAACACAAGGGTATCTTGGTACAGACCACTTCGACAACCTCTACTAGTGAGAACGGCTGGGTTTGAGAAGGACCTGCCCTCCCAAAGCAACCTACGTCTCACCTCCTGGCACTATATAAAGGCCCCATTCTGTCACTTCAACTTCATATTGTTTCAGACAACGGAACAATGCTCTTCTCCAGACTGAGGGACTGACCACCTCAAAACTTTAAGGGTGATGGACTGATTACATCGTCTTCAAGTATCTTCTGCTTCTATCAACCTTTCTGTACTCGACTGAAGAAGCCTACTGTGTAGGCGAAACGTTTCGAAATAAAGATACCTAACTGTTGCATATGTGTCTTACCTAACAATCTGTCGGTATTTCATACCATTTTAATGTTCATTCTGTCAGACACTGCAACACAAGGGTATCTTGGTACAGACCACTTCGACAACCTCTACTAGTGAGAACGGCTGGGTTTGAGAAGGACCTGCCCTCCCAAAGCAACCTACGTCTCACCTCCTGGCACTATATAAAGGCCCCATTCTGTCACTTCAACTTCATATTGTTTCAGACAACGGAACAATGCTCTTCTCCAGACTGAGGGACTGACCACCTCAAAACTTTAAGGGTGATGGACTGATTACATCGTCTTCAAGTATCTTCTGCTTCTATCAACCTTTCTGTACTCGACTGAAGAAGCCTACTGTGTAGGCGAAACGTTTCGAAATAAAGATACCTAACTGTTGCATATGTGTCTTACCTAACAATCTGTCGGTATTTCATACCATTTTAATGTTCATTCTGTCAGACACTGCAACACAAGGGTATCTTGGTACAGACCACTTCGACAACCTCTACTAGTGAGAACGGCTGGGTTTGAGAAGGACCTGCCCTCCCAAAGCAACCTACGTCTCACCTCCTGGCACTATATAAAGGCCCCATTCTGTCACTTCAACTTCATATTGTTTCAGACAACGGAACAATGCTCTTCTCCAGACTGAGGGACTGACCACCTCAAAACTTTAAGGGTGATGGACTGATTACATCGTCTTCAAGTATCTTCTGCTTCTATCAACCTTTCTGTACTCGACTGAAGAAGCCTACTGTGTAGGCGAAACGTTTCGAAATAAAGATACCTAACTGTTGCATATGTGTCTTACCTAACAACAGAGAGGAAGTCTGCCTCTGAGACCAGGGTGTAGCTGCTGGAGCAGGTAGAGAGGAAGTCTGCTCCTGAGACCAGGGTGTAGTTGCTGGAGCAGGTAGAGAGGAAGTCTGCCCCTGAGACCAGGGTGTAGCTGCTGGAGCAGGCAGAGAGGAAGTCTGCTCCTGAGACCAGGGTGTAGCTGCTGGAGCAGGCAGAGAGGAAGTCTGCTCCTGAGACCAGGGTGTAGCTGCTGGAGCAGGTAGAGAGGAAATCTGCCCCTGAGACCAGGGTGTAGTTGCTGGAGCAGGCAGAGAGGAAGTCTGCTCCTGATACCAGGGTGTAGCTGCTGGAGCAGGCAGAGAGGAAGTCTGCTCCTGATACCAGGGTGTAGCTGCTGGAGCAGGCAGAGAGGAAGTCTGCTCCTGAGACCAGGGTGTAGCTGCTGGAGCAGGTAGAGAGGAAATCTGCCCCTGAGACCAGGGTGTAGTTGCTGGAGCAGGCAGAGAGGAAGTCTGCTCCTGATACCAGGGTGTAGCTGCTGGAGCAGGCAGAGAGGAAGTCTGCTCCTGATACCAGGGTGTAGCTGCTGGAGCAGGCAGAGAGGAAGTCTGCTCCTGAGACCAGGGTGTAGCTGCTGGAGCAGGTAGAGAGGAAGTCTGCTCCTGAGACCAGGGTGTAGTTGCTGGAGCAGGTAGAGAGGAAGTCTGCCCCTGAGACCAGGGTGTAGCTGCTGGAGCAGGCAGAGAGGAAGTCTGCTCCTGATACCAGGGTGTAGCTGCTGGAGCAGGTAGAGAGGAAATCTGCCCCTGAGACCAGGGTGTAGTTGCTGGAGCAGGTAGAGAGGAAGTCTGCCCCTGAGACCAGGGTGTAGCTGCTGGAGCAGGCAGAGAGGAAGTCTGCTCCTGATACCAGGGTGTAGCTGCTGGAGCAGGTAGAGAGGAAATCTGCCCCTGAGACCAGGGTGTAGCTGCTGGAGCAGGCGGAGACGAGGATAATTGAGGAACAACGCATTAGTACAGTTATTGAGGCTAAAACGTTTTGTAGTTTTAAAAATAGGTTAGATAAATACATGAGTGGGTGTGGGTGGGTGTGAGTTGGATCTGACTAGCTTTGCTACTGAGTCTGGTACAGTGCTCCATACTTGAGTGGAGATGACCAGACTCGGTAGGTCATTGGGATAATCCGGGGGGGGGACATGGACCTGCTCCTCATGGGTCAGTAGGCCTGTTGCAGTGTTCCTTCTTTCTTATGTTCTAATGTTAAGGCTGATGAAAAATTCGGCAAGTTTAAGGAAGAGGAAAAAGAGAAAGATAACTCAGCGATTAGTTTAAAGCCAACAAGGAGGATGCGATGAAAAGAGAGAAGGAAGATGAAGTAAAGAAAGTTAAAGAAAAAGTATAAAAGCAAAGAAATACATTGGATAGAGTATTACTAACACAGGTGTAGTCTTGTGCTCTGTGCAACTCTGTATAACAATAATAATAATTTAATTTTAGCATGATACATGTTTGTACAGAGGAGTATAACAGTTGGGTGTACAATAACAGTTGGGTGTACAATAACAGTTGGGTGTACAATAACAGTTGGGTGTACAATAACAGTTGGGTGTACAATAACAGTTGGGTGTACAATAACAGTTGGGTGTAAAAATAACAGTTGGGTGTACAATAACAGTTGGGTGTACAATAACAGTTGGGTGTACAATAACAGTTGGGTGTACAATAACAGTTGGGTGTACAATAACAGTTGGGTGTACAATAAAAGTTGGGTGTACAATAACTGTACATAACAAAAGCCCCTTTATATGCAGAGCATTTCGGCCAAACTTAAGACTAACTTAAGATTAATTAGGTAATAACAGTGCGGGAAGTTTTGTACGTATGATCATTAGGAGAGTTAAAATAAATACAAGAGAATTGAATGTTCTGTTAGTCTGAGAGGCAGGAACCAGTAATATCGACGATTGTGGCTTAAGAAGCGGGGCCAGAAGCTTAGACTCGACTTCCGAAAGCAAAACTCTGTGAGTACTCTCTCTCTCTCTCTCTCTCTCTCTCTCTCTCTCTCTCTCTCTCTCTCTCTCTCTCTCTCTCTCTCTCTCTCTCTCTCTCTCTCTCTCTCTCTCTCTCTCTCACTGATCATCACTTAATATTTGATAATAACACAAGCTGTCTTTCAGTGTTGGACAGAGACGCAGTGAAGCCCTTCCGGGTATACCGCATTCCCTTCCGGTGTCTTACTGGCACCACCAGCTGTGAGCGGCGGTGTCCCACGCCCTCCACGCCCCTCCACCCGCCCGTCCTGGGCGCCAGCGAGGGGTGTGTGGGCGGCGGGGGCGTGGACAGCGGCAGTGACGGGAGCGGTGGCGGTGGCGGCGGCGGCGGCGGGGGGCGGGCGGGGATGCACCTGCGAGTGACGGACCAGCGCTACGGCAGCAGGTCGTGTACAGCGTCGCCGACACACCAACCCTCGCCGCCCAGTCCATTCTCTGGGTGCCGCCCGCGCCAGGCTCGGCACCGCCCCTGGGCGTGCCCCTGGCCTCCGCCGCCCACCACCCGCCCTACCAGAAGCCCAGAGACCGAACCAACTCCCTCACCGTGGACTCCGCCAGCAGCCTCCTCCACCACCATCACCACCACCACCAAGGGCGTCCCAACCTTCTCCACCACCACCACCATCACCACCACCACCACCAGCAACAACAGCACCACCACCACCACCACCCGCCCGTCAAGTGAAGAATACACACGTGCTGTGTGCGTCACCGCTATATTGTGTGTGTGTGTGTGTGTGTGTGTGTGTGTGTGTGTATTTACCTATTTGTGGTTGCAGGGGTCGAGTGCTGGTCACCCACACATCCTGCTAAGGAACAACAACTGATATTGCAGATGAGGGAGTAAAATGTTCTGCAGCTTCCATGTTCCTCCAGCCCTGACAGCGGCCCCTGGCGCCTGCTGCTGGTAACTGTACCATCCTGTTCCTGCCCACCGCCCCATCCTGTTCTTGCCCACCGCCCCATCCTGTTCTTGCCCACCGCCCATCCGTTCTGCCACCGCCCCATCCTGTTCTTGCCCACCGCCCCATCCTGTTCTTGCCCACCGCCCCATCCTGTTCTTGCCCACCGCCCCATCCTGTTCTTGCCCACCGCCCCATCCTGTTCTTGCCCACCGCCCCATCCTGTTCTTACCCACCGCCCCATCCTGTTCTTGCCCACGCCCCATCCTGTTCTTGCCCACCGCCCCATCCTGTCTTACCGCCCTCCTGTTCTTGCCCACCGCCCCATCCTGTTCTTGCCCACCGCCCCATCCTGTTCTTGCCCACCGCCCCATCCTGTTCTTGCCCACCGCCCCATCCTGTTCTTACCCACCGCCCCATCCTGTTCTTGCCCACCGTCCCCATCCTGTCTTGCCCACCGCCCCATCCTGTTCTTACCCACCGCCCCATCCTGTTCTTGCCCACCGCCCCATCCTGTTCTTGCCCACCCCCATCCTGCTCTTGCCCACCGCCCCATCCTGTTCTTGCCCACTGCCCCATCCTGTTCTTACCCACCGCCCCATCCTGTTCTTGCCACGGCCCCATCCTGTTCTTGCCCACTCCCCCAGTCCTGTTCTTGCCCACGGGCCCATCCGTCTGCCCACCGCCCTCCGTTTTGCCACGCGCCCATCCTGTTCTGCCCACCGCCCCATCCTGTTCTTGCCACCGCCCCTCCTGTCTTGCCCACGCGCCCACACTGGTCTTGCCACACCGCCCCATCTGTTCTTGCACCAACACTCCATCCTGTTGTTTGCCCACCGCCCATCCTGTTCTTGCCCACCCCCCATCCTTCTGCCCCCCGCCCCATCCTGTTCTTGCCCACGCCCATCCTTCTGCCCACCCCCATCTTTCTTGCCCACCGCCCATTTTCTTGCCACCGCCCATCTGTTCTCCCATCCCCCATCCTGTCTTGCCCACCCCCCATCCTGTCTTAGCCCATCCCCATCCTGTCTTGCCCACCCCCATCCTGTTCTTGCCCACCCTCCCACGCTTCTTGCCCCTCCCCCCATCCTGTCTTGCCCACCCCCATCCTTTCTTGCCCCTTCCCCAATTTTTTGCCCACCGCCCCATCTGTTCTGCCCCCCTTCCCATCCTGCCCTCCACCGCCCATCCTGTCTTGCCCACCGCCCCATCCTGTCTTCTCCAGCTACCCATCCTGTTCTTGCCCACCGCCCCATCCTGTTCTTGCTCACCGCCCCATCCTGTTCTTGCCCACTTCCCCATCCTGCTCTTACCCACCGCCCCATCCTGTTCTTCTTAGGTTTCGTCCAGTACCTGTGTGGCATCTTCAGTCAGTCAGAGGGCGGCCGTAGTGTCACCTGGGCGGCTAGTTTACTGTACAGCCGCAGCTCATCCTGCTAACAGCGCCACAAACAGCAGTACAGAGGTTACATAACACCGCCTCCTGATCTTCACACAGGTGACCTACACAACATGGACATGAACTCTCAACAACATTCAAGCTTCGTATTGCTACCAAAAAACTCATTATTGTTAAGGTTAAATTCTCCATCTCTATCCCTGCCTCCTATATTCATCCTTTCCTTCTTTTACCCAATCTTCGCGCCATCCTCCAATCTACTCCCTTCTAATTTTAATTCACTCCCGTCTAAACCCAATCTCACCCCTGCTAAACCCAATCTCACCCCTGCTAAACCCAATCTCACCCCTGCTAAACCCAATCTCACCCCTGCTAAACCCAATCTCACCCTGCTAAACCCAATCTCACCCCGCTAAACCCAATCCTCCTCCATCTAAACTCAAAATATGACCTCTCCCTTACGCTTTCTCCCCTCCTTCCCCCACCCATCCCTCCCCATCCCTCCCCATACCCTCCTCCTCCCATCCCCATCTCCATCCCCTCCCCTCCACACCCCATTACACCACCTTTACCTACCACCCCCAATTCATCCATATTCCATAACCCCATTTCCCTACACCATACTTCCCTACACCACCTCATGTTCCCTACCACCTTCCATGTTCCTACCACCACCTCATGTTCCCACACCACCCATCATTTCCTACCACCATCCAATGTTCCCTACCACCACCTCAGGTTCCCTACCACCATCAATGTTCCCTACCACCACCCTCAGTTCCCTACCACCATCCTCATGTTCCCTACCACCACCCTCAGGTTCCCTACCACCACCACATGTTCCCTACCACCACCCTCATTTCCTACCACCACCCATATGTTCCCTACCACCACCCTCATGTTCCCTACACCACCCTCATGTTCCCTACCACCACCCTCAATGTTCCCTACCACCACCCTCATGTTCCCTACCACCACCCTCAATGTTCCCTACCACCACCCTCATGTTCCCTACCACCACCCTCATGTTCCCTACCACCATCCAATGTTCCCTACCACCACCCTCATGTTCCCTACCACCATCAAATGTTCCCTACCACCACCTCAGGTTCCCTACCACCATCCAAATGTTCCCTACCACCACCCTCATGTTCCCTACCACCATCCAAATGTTCCCTACCACCACCCTCATGTTCCCTACCACCATCCAAATGTTCCCTACCACCACCCTCAGGTTCCCTACCACCATCCAAATGTTCCCTACCACCACCCTCAGGTTCCCTACCACCATCCAAATGTTCCCTACCACCACCCTCAGTTCCCTACCACCATCCAAATGTTCCCTACCACCACCCTCAGTTCCCTACCACCATCCAAATGTTCCCTACCACCACCACTCAGTTCCCTACCACCATCCAAATGTTCCCTACCACCACCCTCAGTTCCCTACCACCATCCAAATGTTCCCTACCACCACCACTCACGTTCCCTACCACCATCCAAATGTTCCCTACCACCACCCTCAGGTTCCCTACCACCATCCAAATGTTCCCTACCACCACCATCAGTTCCCTACCACCATCCAAATGTTCCCTACCACCACCCTCAGTTCCCTACCACCATCCAACATGTTCCCTACCACCACCCTCAGTTCCCTACCACCATCCAAATGTTCCCTACCACCACCCTCAGGTTCCCTACCACCATCCAAATGTTCCCTACCACCACCACTCACGTTCCCTACCACCATCCAAATGTTCCCTACCACCACCACTCACGTTCCCTACCACCATCCAAATGTTCCCTACCACCACCACTCACGTTCCCTACCACCATCCAAATGTTCCCTACCACCACCCTCAGGTTCCCTACCACCATCCACATGTTCCCTACCACCACCCTCAGGTTCCCTACCACCATCCACATGTTCCCTACCACACTCCCATGGTTCCTACCACCATCCAATGTTCCCTACCACCCCTCATGTTCCTACCACCATCCACATGTTCCCTACCACCACCACATGGTTCCCTACCACCATCCACATGTTCCCTACCACCACCCACATGGTTCCCTACCACCATCCACATGTTCCCTACCACCACCCTCATGTTCCCTACCACCATCCAAATGTTCCCTACCACCACCCTCAGGTTCCCTACCACCATCCACATGTTCCTACCACGCACCTCATGTTCCCTACCACCACCACATTTCTACCACACCAATGTTCCCACCACACCCATGTTCCTTACCACCATCCACATGTTCCCTACCACCATCCACATGTTCCCTACCACCATCCACATGTTCCCTACCACCATCCACATGTTCCCTACCACCATCCACATGTTCCCTACCACCATCCACATGTTCCCTACCACACCTCATGTTTCCCTACCACCATCCTTCATGTTCCCTACCACCACCCTCATGTTCCCTACCACCTCAATGTTCCCTCCATCCATTTCTACACACATGTTCTACTATTATGTCCTACATACCCACATGTTTTCAAGTCCACCCATCCCACATGTTCCCTAACCTCCATGTCCTACACATCATGTTCCTACCAGCACTACTTCATGTTCCCTACCACAACCCTACATGTTCTCTACCACACCCACATGTTCCCTGCTACCTGTCAGTTCTTCACACACAGATCACACTACCACAGTTTCAACATACCCACAGTCACAGCTCAACTGTCATAAGCACACTTGTATCTATAAGACATGTTACACTACCACTGTCCCTTTGTGGAGTTTTCTACACAAAAAGTCATTATAGTTGTATGGACTAGATGTGACGATACATGTTAGCACTGCACACCTGGGTCTCGTACACTGCTAAAGAAGGGTATGATGAGTACAATCTCCCCTAGGGGGTGTTGTGTCAGCATTTCGATAACTGAATATTGACGAGAATCTATACTCACTTGTGTTGGGCTAAAAAGCCCGCCCATAGCCGAGTGTATAGTAAATCTAGAGAAAAATGAACTAGCTAATTCATTTTACTCTAGATTTTCGAGTTAACTATAGGTCCGATATAGACACCCTTCCTGGGTGTCTATATCGGACCTATATTTAACTCGAGTATAGGTGTCTTGATTGAAACAGATGTGTTCTTTGAAGAATGTCGTACTGTACTCCATCAGGCTCGTAACACTTTTTGTTACACACTGTTCATCAAGTATTGTTTATTATTCACTGTCATATCACTAAAGGAGCTGTTGTCACTTCTCTGTAAGTGTTCTGCTGTGTACTTGGAGATTCTTTTACGCACAAAAATGCTCGATCACTATAGTCTTTGTTATTACAGTGTGACGCACGAGTTGCCTCGACGAAGTCTAAAAGGAATCTACCCCGCAGTGCCCCTCGCTGGTCTGACTTGCCCTCATATAAAGGATTCGCTGATACAAACAGACTTGCTTTCCTTGCCAAACTTCTACCATGAAGCAATGCAGAATGCTTGATTCTTGCTGTTTGGGCATAGACAATAATGTACACTATCTTTAACATGGTAATAAAGTGGGTGCAGGATTTTCCTTAATTGTCCTGCTAAGGTAAGAGATTGATTCTCATTAAACTACACTATTTGCAACACTGGTCTCTTGCAAAGATGTGGCGTGACCTGGTAACTGGTTAAGCATCTGCTTGTAATTACTAGATGTGGAA